AAAACCAGCAGAGACAGCTGATCTGAACAGGGGAGTGCTCTTGGACCCCAGACTGACAGTGGGGAGGCCAGCATGGGACTGATCTGGACCCCCCCAAATGTGAGTGTCAGCGAGAAGGCCTGGGCAACCTATGGGGCCCTGAGCTGTAGATCAGTGTCTATCCCTGGTATACAAACAGTCTTCGTGTGCCTATAGCACAGAGAGGGATGCTCTCTCAGCCTGGACTCTTAGGGGAGTGCCTGGACCCTACCCAGAGTAAAATGACAGACTCTAGATATCCCCTATGTGGAAGGATTTGGCAATAGGGTGGGAGGGTGGGGGGAAGGGGAGTGCGGGAGGATGGGAGGGAGAGGGAACTGGGATTGACATGGAAAACAAGCTATTTAAAATTAAAATAAAAAATTATAAAAAAAAGATCAGTATAAGTACAATACTTAATCAAGAGGAGAAATATACACATCACAAAATTGACCTTGATTTGTATCAATAAATGAAAAACAATCCCCATAACATAATTCCCCTTTTTACCATTAAAAAGAGATCGGTTGTGATCATTAACCAATTATAAACAATCCCATTTAAATGAAAACAAAGGTTTATAAACAAGATAGGAATTAGGACGTCGCTCATTCCAAACTGCTTCATGCTGGAAGGGGGCACTGTTCATACCATGGGGATCATGACAAAACTCAGAAACCTGTATAAGTCCATATTTTCGGGGTCTGTAAGACTGCATCATCTTAGCTGTTTCAATTGTTCGAACATCTGATCCACTGCTTCCGGGGGTCTTGGTTCGTTAAACCACAGAAGCCTGGAAGGAATCCTCAGCTTTTCATTTTCTGTGGAAACATAAACTAAATCTCCTTTTCCGAGTAACATATCCTTATACTTAAATTTTGAAGTCAAGGCATTTTCAAAAGATAGAAGTTGGATTAATTCAGCAGCATTTGTAATCAAGTGTACTTTAGCATTTGTTCCTTCCTTAGCAATGAAAAAACTGAAAAACACAATAGCATACAGTATCCAGACTCTCTGTGTATTTTCCATCTTTACGTGGCTTATTTATTCATCTATTATTACTTTATTTATTTTACTTTTATTTATTTTTCTCTGAGGCACGGTTTCTCTTTGGAAATCCGCCTGCCTCTGCCTCTGGAGTAAATCCTACTGGCGTGCGCCACCACAACGCTGGCTTTTTTATTTATTTACCACTTTGTCGTTTTATTTTCTCTCTCAATCTCATGTATACTTTTAAACACACTGTAAACTTTCAGAGGTTTTGTTCATCCAAGTCTGACTTTACTGTAAAGCTTTACGTTTTTCCGGCCACGTGTCTTATTTGTAAAACCACGGCAGTTTAAACTGCCGTATTTTCCAAGATGGCGGGCGTAAACGTGATCCCAGCTTACCACCTCAGTCCATGCTGACATCCAGCAAATGCTGCCAGCTGTACGTACACACCTTTTAATCCTTAGCAGAGTCTCTTAAAACAACCTTGCTGCTGTTTTTTTGTTTGTTTGTTTTGTTTTGTTTCCGAGTCAGGAAGACTCCCGTAAGCAGGCCACGTGAATCACGGCTTGTTGCTAGCAGAACAGAGCACACCTGAGAAAAATGCTGCTACAAAAAAATCTGTGCTTCTCTCCATTCTTCTGTTTCTAAAATTCCTTTAAAGCTTTTATCATTCTACGTGGAAGTTCAATCCCGCTTCTGACAACCATTCTGTTATGAGAAGCTTTTTCTTTGAGTAGAGCCGTCCTGCCAGCCTGGTTCCAGAGTCGCATCAGTCCCAAATAAACACACAGGAGGCTATATTAATTATGAAGCTGTTGGCCTTGCTTGTTTCTTACTGGCTAGCTCTGACTTAAGTAATTACCCCATACTTGTTAATCTAAGTATTTCTCTTACCGGAGAATAGTCCCGGGCTTCCTGCCCCATGGCAGTTACATGTCGACTCTCCATGTTTCTCCTTCCCAGAGTCCTCCTGGACTCCTAGTCCCTCCTATCTAGGTTTCCTATTGGCTCAACAGTACTTTATTGACAAATGCACAGGACTTCCCCCCACAAAGGAGTGTTCCCCTTATTCCACAACTTCTCCAGCATAAACTGTCATCAGTGATTTTGGTGTTGGTGAAGATCTTTTCCCACTCTGCAGATTGCCATTTTGTCTAATTGACTGTGTCCTTTGCCTTACAGAAGCTTTTCAGTTTCAGGAGGTCCCATTTGTTAATTGTCGATCTCAGTGTCTGTGCTACAGGTTTTATATTCAGGAACTGGTCTCTTTTTCCAATGCAAGCAAGGCTGTTTCCACTTACTCTTTTATAAGTTTCAGTGTAACTGGATTTATGTTGAAGTCTTTGATTCACTACGACTTGAATTTTTTGCAGGGTGATCGTATGGATGTGTTTGCAGTCTTCTACATGCTACCATACATTTGTGCCAACAACATTTGTTGAAGATGCTTTCTTTTTTCCATTGTTTAATTTTGGCTTCTTTGTCGAAAATCAGGTGTTCATAGGTGTGTGGATTAGCATCAGGGTCTTCAATTTGATTTTATTGATCCATATGTCTGTTTTTATGCCAATAACAAACTGCTTTTTTTTTACTGTAGCTCTATAGTAGAGCTTAATGTCAGAGATGGTGATGTCGCTGGAAGTTCCTTTATTGTACAGTATTGTTTTAGCTATCCTGGGTTCCTTGTTTTTCTATATGAAGTTGAGTATTGTTCTTTCAAGAATAATTGTGTTGGGATTGCATTGAATCTGTAGATTGCTTTTGACAAGTTTGCCATTTTTACTATGTTAATCCTACCTATCCATGAACATGGGAGATCTTTCCATCTTCTGATATTTTCTTCACTTTTGTTCTTCAAAGACTTAAAATTCTTGTCTCAGAGGACTTTCACTTGTTTGGTTATAGCTACTGATTTTTTTAACCTCATCTTGTATCCCAACACATTACTGAAGGTTTTTATCAGCTGTAGGAGTTCCCTGGTAGAATTTTGGAGGTCACTTATGTATACAATCATATCATCTGTAAATAGCAAAAGTTTGACTTCTTCCCTTCCAATTTGTATTCCCTTGTTCTCCCTTTGTTGTCGTATTGCTCTAGCTAGAACTTCAATTACTATATTGAATACATATGGAGAAAATAGACAGTCTTGTCTTGTTCCTAATTTTAGTGGAATTATTTTGTGTTTCCCTCCATTTAGTTTGATGTTGGCTTGCTGTATATTGCCTTTGTTATGTTTAGGTATGTTCCTTGTATCTCTATTCTCTCTAAGACCTTTATCATGAAGGGGTGTTAGATTTTGTGGTAGGTTTTAACAGCATCTAATGAGATGATTGTGTGGGCTTTTTTTTTCATGTGTTTTACATGGTGGATTACATTGCCAGATTTTCATATGATGAACCATCCCTGCATCTCTGGGATGAAGCCTACTTGATCATGTTGGATTATTCTTTTTTATTTATTCGTGGATTCTGTTTGCCAGTATTTTATTGAGTATTTTTGCATCAGTGTTAGGGAGGGAGACTGGTCTGTAATTCTCTTTCTCAGTTGCATATTTATGTGGTTTGAGTGACAGGGTAACTGTACCCCTCGTAAAAAGGATTTGACAAAGTTCCTTCTGTTCTATTGTATGGAACAATTTGAGGAGTATTGATCTTAGCTCTTCTTTGAAATTCTGGTCGAATTCTGCACTGAATCCATCTGGTTGTGGGCTATTTTTGGTTGGGAGATTTTAAATAACTGTTTTTATTTCCTTAGGGTTTTTATGTCTATTTAAATTGTTTATCTGGTCTTGATTTCACTTTGGTACATGGTAGCCATCAAGAAAATTGTTCACTTCTTTGACATTTTCCAATTTTGTGAAGTACAGGTTTATGAAATATGACCTAATGATTCTCTGGATTTCCTCGGTGTCTGTTGTTATGTCCCCCTGTTCGTTTCTGATTTGTTAATTTGGATATTCTACCTCTGCCTTTTGGTTAGTTTGGATAAGGATAGTTGATTTTCTCAAAGAACCAACTCTTTGTTTCATTGAGTGTTTGTATTTTTCTCTTTGTTTCTATTTTGTTCTCCTAGGTGAGTTTGCTTCTTTTTGTTCTAGAGCTTTCAGGTGTGTTGTTAAGTCTAGTGTAAGGTGTCTCCAAATTCTTTATGTAGTAGGCATTTAGTGCTATGAACTTTCCTCCTAGCACTGCTTTCTTAGTGTCCTGTAAGTTTGGGTGTGTTATGCATCCATTTTCATTGAATTCTAAGAAATCTTTAATTTCTTTATTTCTCCCTTGACCCAATGGTAATTCCTTTGAGAGTTGTTAAGTTTCCATGAGCTTGTAGGCTTTCTGTAGTTGGTATTGTTGTTGAACTCTAACTTTAACTCATGGTGGTCCAATAAGATACATGGGGTTATGCCAATTTTTTAAAAGATGTATTTATTATGTATAGTGTTCTGCCAGCGTGTACACCTGCAGGCCAGAAGAGGGCACCAGATCGCATTACAAATGGCTGTGAGCCACCATATGTTTGCTGGGAATTGAACTCAGGACCTCTGGAAGAGCAGACAGTGCTCTTAACCACTGAGCCATCTCTCCAGCCCTATGCCAATTTTTTATCTGTTGCAATTTGCTTTGTAGACAAGTATGTGGTCAGTTTTAGAGAAGGTTCCATGAGGTGCTGAGAAGAAGGTGTGTTTGAATGAAATTTTCTATAGATACCTGTAAGTCCATTTGAGTCATAACATCTGTTAGTTCCTTTATTTTTCTGTTAAGTTTCTGTCTGGCAATCCTATCCATTGATGAGAGTGGGGTGTAGGGGTGAGCCCAAAATACTACCCATGCCCAAAGGTGTTGAAGTCTCCCACTATTAATGTATTTATTGTCACCCAATAATAACATAAGGGCCACTAAAACAATATGAATAAATGTTTCAGACTGTGCTCCCAGCAGAAGACACCTTTAAAAACACTGTACTTCCTCTTCAACTTCTGAGTGCCTGAGTTTCTAGTTGGAAACACTTTGAGGCAGAGTAATATTGTCTGCTTTCAGCACGATCTGACCCAGTTGTTTCCTTGACTGTGCTTTAGAGTGAATCTCTTCGGCATTATCTAATACGAGGTTCATGTATTCATCAAAGCCAATAATACAACCCTCTATCCGCATATTCACTTGCTCATATAGCCACACCTGAATCTGAGACCTATTTTGCAAGTATCTGAAGATGAGGTTGATGGGCTGCACCATCACCTTCTGGACCTTCTGGCCCTGGCTGCAGTACACCATGGTGGAAGTCACAAAGACCACACGAGTAGGAAGGTCATGGAGTTATTTTTAAAGTTGTTTACTTCTGCTTCATCTGTGGTGGGATGTTTAGGTCTTATTGTTGTGAGATCACTGGGTTCTGGTGTTGCCATAGTGCCCTTTGTAACATTGAATTATTCTTCCAACTGGTGTGGTTAGTATGTCTCTTGATGCTTTTCTTGTCCCACCAGGTCACACTGCTTCTGCCCCAAATGAACACACAGAGATGCTATATTCATTATTAAATATCCTATAATCTATCCTATCTTTATGAGTCTGCAGTTTTATAAGTAACTTATCTTTTATCATAACTAAGGAAAACCATAACTGTCTGTCTTCAACTCCATCAAAGATCACAGAAGGATAATATATATACTCTAGCACTGACAGAGACATTTCATTGCCTGGACAGTCCCCCCAAGTTCTTCTGTAATGTTGGGGCATCCATTTTCAGCCCATAGGCCATAATGTGTCTGGCAGACTTCTCAGTGAAGCAGGAAATTTCAAATTGTCCACCTGTATTGGCAGGTTGTCAGTCATTTTTCTCTGTATCCCGAAGAATGTCTGACAGACTCTTCCACGAAAAAGGAACCATGCAGGACTGTCCATCTTATTTGCAAGTTCAGCAGTCACTTTTCTGTGGGTCCTGTATGTCCACTTTATACAGAATACAGTCAAACAGTCCAGGCAAGAGCAGTTTCTTGCCCAAATGGCTAGTTTCACCATATTGAAAGCAACTCCATATCGAATTTCTTAGATGCTCATCCACCTTTCTGACATAATTGACGTTGTGTCTCACAGTCATGAGAAACCCTCAACCATTTTAAATGTCATTTCCTGTAGGTCTTTGAAATGAATAGACTATCTATTCATCTCAAATATATCTCTGTATATCTGGAAAACCTAACATAACCATAAGACTATCTATAATCTGTATTTAATTATACATCACCTTTTTAAAAGAGCTGTGTAAACACAATGCCTAAACAAGAGGCTAAATACACCTATAACGCATTGACCTTAAATTTGTACCAGTAAATCAAAATCCATATCATTGCAAAGTATTCATTTCTATATCATATTTCCTTTTTTCCTTTAGAAAGAGATTTACTGTGATCATTAATCATGACCAACTCCATTTAGATGAAAACAAACATTTTTAAACAATATTTGGGGATGTGAGCATCGTTCTCTCCAAACTGCTTCCTGCTGTTTGGGGGTGCTGTCAATACCATGAGGACCCCGAGAAAACCAAGAAACCTGACTAAATCCTGGCTGTAGTCGTCTGGGGAAGCATTGTCTCAACTGTTTTGGGATGTTGGGTCACCGAGCCACTGGTTCAGGGGGTCTTGCTTGATCAAACTACATTAGTCTGGAAGGAACCCACAGCTTTTCCTCTTCTATGGAAACAAAAGCAGAACTTCTTTTTCAAAGTAACCTGTCTTTAGATGTAAATATTGAAGGCAAAACATTTTCAAAATTTATACGTTGGATTACTCCAGCAACATTTATAAGCAAATGTCTGTTAGCAGCTCTTGCTCCTTCCTCAGCAATTAAACAATTCAGAAACACTACAGTATCCAGACTCTGTGTACTTTCCAACTTTATGTGGCTTTCTTATTGCCATATTTCTTTTATTTTTTCATTTTTTGAGACAGGCTTTCCTCTGTGTACTTTTGCCTTTGCTGGAATTCACTGTGTACAGCAGGCTGTTCTTGAACTCACAGAGATCTGCCTGCCTCTGCCTTGCAAGTGCTAGGATTAAAGGTGTGGGCCACCTCCCCAGCTATTCTATTACTTTTTTAAAAAACTTTATCCTTTTTCTTTTCTCTCCCAAACCTACTTATATTTTTAAACACATTGTAAACCCTTTACAGCTTTTTCTTTATCTGCATCTGTCTTTAGTGTATATTGTTGTTCCCAAGTAGCAAAGTCCCCAGAGACCACCAGAAAGACAGACCCACCAAACTGTAAAAACAAGGTTTTCTTGTTTATCCAACCATAAATGGGACTCTGTCTGGCAAGCAGCCTCCAGAGGGAGTGAAGTTCCCTGTCTACTGCTAGGTTTTAAAGACAAAAGTCACAGGATTACATCAGTAAGTAGGGTTTGTTTCTGATTGGGTGACATTTGGGAACAATTAGGAGAATTTCTCAACGTCATACTTTGACATGAAATACGTGTGTACCAATTATTTTCATTGGTCAGTGCTGAGAGGGAACACTCTGTGATTTCTATGGAATTATCTTGTTACTTTCAGGTGGCCTGTTGTACATAGATAACCAGTAGTTTTCTGAACTATATCCTGGAGACTACAGGAGAGGTTTTGGTCTCCCTTGGAGTTTCTTTTGCAGCCGAACAGTTCCCAGGAACCAAGTATCTAGGAGACTGGGTGAGGGGGGTCGGTTCTGGAGTTTCTCTGTGTTCAGTTTTGGCCCTAGGCTCTGGGAGGCCAGAGGATCTGGAGTTTCCTTGTGTCAGAGGCCTACGTGTCTTTTCTGTAGCCTGTCGTGGCTGCTAAAGCAGGGGGCTGAGTGAGGGTCTGCTCCCTTTATTTCTAAGTTATTAGAAGTGAAACTCTTGAGTTTAGTTTACCCCTTTCATATATCTCCATCTTTTTCTGGCCACGAGTCTTTTACTTGCTAAACAGCATGACTAAAATTAACGTGGCATTCGTTTTAGTTGCTGGCTTTCCAACACAGCGGGGGTATGTTTACCACCAGCATTGGAATCTGTGCTCACCACCTCAACTCTTAAACCTGTTTTGTCTGTATGAGTAAAAAACTAAATTGGCCATGTAGCATGCCGTGCGGCTTGAAGATGTGGTTACTGCTGCTGCCAACTGCTTGTACACACCATTTGTTTGTTAGTGGGGCTTCCTAAAAGGCTGTGGGTTTTTGCCACTAACGCTGAGTCAGCAACTGACTTGGGGGGGGGGTTCGAGACAGGATTTCTCTGTATTGTTTTGAAGGCTATCCTGGAACTTGCTCTGTAGACCAGGCTGACCTGAAACTCAGAGATCTGCCTGCCTCTGCCTCCGGATTGCTGGGATTAAAGACATGCACCACCACTACCCAGCAAGACTATCTTAAAGGAGCCATGGGCCTCTGCTTGTCTCTAGCAAACAGGGCCCACCTGAGAAAATGCTGCTACCAAGAAGCCGTGCATGACTATGTTCTTTTGTTTTTAGAATCCCTTTTAAGTTTTTGTCAGGGTTTACATGGAAAATCTTACCCCGCCTGTCAGCGTCATTTTGTTGCTGGATGTTTTTCTTGTCCTGATGGATCCTGCCACTTCAGCCCCAAAGGAAAACACAGAGATGCTATATTAATTATTAAGCTGTTGGCCAATATTTAGGGTTTCTTATTGGCTAGCTCTGTGTTAACTAGCAACCCATTTTTATTAATGTATGTATTTCCAGATGGTTTTGACTTACCGGAGAATGCCTGGACCTACTACTCCTTTGTGGTCTACGTGGTATCTCTCCGCCTACCTTTCCCAGAATTTTCCTCACTTCCTAGTCCCTCCTACCTTCCTGCTTCTGTTGGTCAAAAAGTATTTTATTTCAACTAATAAGAGAAACATATAAGTTGAAGGACATCCCCCATCATCTCCTATTTTCTGTCTAAATAAAAAGAAGGGTTCTAGGGGTGTTGGTGGCGCACGCCTTTAATCCCAGCACTTGGGAGGCAGAGGCAGGAGGATCTCTGTGAGTTCGAGGCCAGCCTGGTCTACAAGAGCTAGTTCCAGGACAGCCTCAAAGCAAAAAACAAAAACAAAGAAGGGTTCTAACTTTAACAGTAAAATTATATATGACAAGACATTTATCAAGTAAGAACTATAGTGAACAATATTTAGTCCATTAACATTTGGCAAAATGTATAGGACATATCCTATCATCTATCCTATCTTTGTGAGTCTACGGTTTTATGGGTTCTGTTGGTGCCATTGTGCCCTTTATGATATTGAATGTATTCTTACACTGGTGTTTACTTACCTGTTCTTCCAACTGGAGTAGTAGTACTTGTTGTGCCTGCAGGGTGTGCTGGTGTTACCGGGAAGGGCTGTCCATGGGGAGGACGCTAGGGTAGGTGTGGCTATGCAGTGGCGTGGGTCTTATGGAAAGAGTCCAGTGGGTGGCAGTTGTAGTGGTACAGCATACTTGCAGGTCTCTCACCTACTGGCTGGCTGCTGGGGACTGCACCAGAGCAGTGGAGTTCCACCAGAATTGGGGGCAGGCTCAAGCTGTCTTGCTGAGGGTGTGATGGGAGGGGGACATGGGATGTGCCCTGAGGCTTACGGCCTAGAGATGGGGGCAGTTTACCTGGGAGACCGGTCATTCAACTGTTCTTCCAATTGGTGTGGGTGGTGCTTGTACCTTTGTAGTCTGCTGATGTTGCCAGAGAGGGATGTCCACAGGGAAGATGCTGGAGTATGTGGGGGTGGGCAACAAAGTGAGTCTCGTAGGAACAGAGTCCAGTGGGTGGCAGCAGCAGTGGTGCCACCTGCCCGCAGGTCTCCAATCTGCTGGCTGGCTGCTGGAGTCTGCACAAAAGCAGTGAACATTACTTTATAAGAATATTTTATTTATTTATTATGTATACAATGTATACAATTTTCTACCTGCATGCCAGCAGAGGGCACCAGATCTCATTCAAGGTGGTTGTGAGCCACCATGTGGTTGCCGGGAATTGAACTCAGGACCTCTGGAAGAACAGTCAGCACTCTTAACCTCTGAGCCATCTCTCCAGCCCTGAATATTACTTTATGATAAATGTTCTCTGTGTAAAATGAAGACTGCTTCAAGCAAATACAACGTCTTGATTGCACAAGAAAGCAACAGCTGACAAACTTTCAATTTGTTAAACTTAAAGAATGTGCTAAATTATTTCAGTATAGCTATAAAAAACTCCACATTTTTATTAATCAAGTTTACTTTCTTCTAAGTCAGAAAATTTAATCTTATTTTTCTATGCTATAACAAAAAATCGTTGAAATATTTTGACAGTTTT